TATATAGAAGACACTGCTGATACTTATAAAATTCACTTTTTAAATACTATAAGAATTTAAATGTATTTACGTAAATGTTGAACTTGCTGTCAAAATTTTTATTTTAATATAACTAGACTCAGCTGTTGTTTGTTGAGTATTGATTATGTGTTGTTTTGCGTGACGTGTTATAAAATAATATCTCAGAAACTCTATTTGCTCAGTTCGAGTATATAAAGAGCATAGAGTTTGAAAAATAAATACTTTTTTTTTTGTTTATATCAGTGGTTAGAGCCACAAGTGTAACTTTTGAGTAAACAAAAATATATTTTGACTTTTGAACATATCTCGATATCTACATATATATGTATCTTATATGTATGTACGTATGCATATATATATGTCTATTTATGGTTATGATATGTTTATCGCCTACAAGTATTTTGTGGTCTACAAAATTGTAAACAAATGTAAACATAATGTAGCGCACATACAGTACTTACATACGTACATATATACCATACATATACTCGTATAATTATACAGACGTGTTCGACCCTTCCTACCCTAAACTATTTTCTGTTTTGCCTCCAGCGTTGTGCAATTATTCCACGATTTCTTGATTTATTAAAGTTCATTTGCAATGCTTGTAAATGAATAATAATATGTACTTATAATATATTCATATCTTTCAATTCAACTATTGACGTTGAATATTTTATAGAAGTAGAAGTCTATTTGTAGATATTGCATATATATGTATGTATGTATGTATGTATGAAAATAATTCTTATCAATCTTATAATTCTTATAAAACAATATCGCTAGAGTGTGTTTATTTGTATGTACGTACATACATACATACGGTCATAAAAAATGTGCATGTCCATTTACTAGTGCATTTCTATTTATAGGCACAGGAACCGATTACGAACCGAGTTGAAAAGCGATTAATATTCAAATTGAAATTAACGTTTTCACACCATACTAAATTACAAACATACATACATATGCACATACATACATAGATACATGTTATACGTTGTTTTGTGTAAAGGAAACTTGCTTTTTAATTTGCATATTGCATAAGCTATTTATTTTATACCACCACACACACTTACATACATACATACAGTCGTGCGTACATCTGTGTGGCAAAAATAGGTACAAAATGCAAATAAGTTTTAATTGACTTGATTAATCGCAATTCAAATTTTATTGTTATGCTATTGCTTTATCAATTTTCGCTGTCCCATGTAAGCGCACAATTTTTGAGAAGAGGCCGGTTACAAAGTCCACTGCGATTCCTTTCGTACTGCGCATAGTGTAAACACCAGATTGAATACATAAAATATATAAATACGAATAAACGTTTTGATATCAGTTTCATATTTGACCATGTAAAGCTTAAGTAGGGTTCTCGTTGCATAATTTTAACTACGTGAAATGCTACTATTTTGGTTGAGAAGGGAGTTATTTAAATTAGCTAAGCCAAATGTGTTTATACCTAAAAATTTGATATAACAACCATTGTGGAACAAAAAATATTTATGCAACAAAAAGTGCGTGATTTATTAATGAAAGAATAACTTTAATTTATTCCAAAAGAGGCTTTTGACCTACAAGTACAAATAAGTTGTATTATTATTATTATTATTTTTAATAAAATTATAAGACTTTTGAAGGGTATTATAAATATTAAATAATAAATTAGAAGAGTTTGAGCTGCGCAACACCACCTATTCAGAACCTGGTTTCTAACTGCGGAATTTCTAACTATATTCGTGCCGTTTTCCAAAAGCTGGTGTGATTTGACTATTATTCCATTGTTTTAATATTTCCAACATGCGTTAGAAAGCTATTGATCTTGTACGTCTTATTCAGTATATGCCATTCATTTGAAACGTAAGCAACAATAATTTTTTTCACTCAATTATGTTTGACCTTGGGCTTGAAAAGATGTTGCCAAATACAAAAGAGCGCGCGGAATATCTGAGAGCTACCTAAGCACGCGCGTTCAAAAGCGCTGGATACATTCAAAACAAGGAGTTGTGACTGGTGATGAAAAATGGACAGCCTTAAACTTCATTGATGCCAAACTAATGGTGGGATCAGAAAAGCGTGCTGTATTATAAGCTTCTAAAACCGGATGAAATCATTAATGGCATTTATGCAATTAATGGAAAGGCACCCGGAATTCGCAACTACATACGAGGCAATTATTTTCCATCATTACAACGCTCAGCCTCATGTTGCAAGACCGGTCAAAAACTATTTGTAAAACAGCGGCTGAGAAGTTTTGCCTCACCCGCCTTAATGCTTACACGTTTCCCCCTTCTGTCTACGATTTGTTCCGATCGTGCAGTACGCCCTCACTGGAATAATCTTCTCAAAAATGGGCTTGATTCATTGTTGGTCGCCAAGCCGGCGCAGTTCTTTTGGGATGGAATCCACAAATTGTGAGAAAGATGGAAAAATGTTATAGCTTCAGATAGGCAATACTTTGAACAATACTATAGTATATGTTTTTCTTAAATGAACGTTCAAATTTTGCAAAAGAAAAAACGCATGAATATAGTTACAGATCCAATGCCAACGAAAAAAGTACTATTTCTGCTATTTTCATGCAAAGCACAACTCTTCGCAACTATTCATTATGAGTACATTAACCTCCCTCCGCACTCAGCATATGTATAAATGTATGTACATGTTGGCATTATCGCGCTCCCCATCGTGTTGGTCGTATTGAGTAAAGCAAAAACAAAATCACGTGCATAACAGCACGCTACTTTGAAATAATTCAGAGAACTTCAATAATACGAGCATATACGCACTCGAGTTGTAGTGGGCTGTGTGGCTGCCTACTTTTTATATTCTCTGCTTATGTATCGCTGACCGTCTGATCGCCTTTGACGACTCTCAAAAGTAAACAAAAAACATAAACACCACACGGGAGAGAGAGTGACGGTTTGCTATATGGTAGAAGCATAAATTGGGTCATAGATATGTACAATATGCTCATGCTTGCATGTTGTTTTGTTTTTTGTTGTGTTGTACTTTTTTTGGCATAAGTTGGCTTTCGACTGCGTTACGATATAAAAGTCACGTCACATACACGTGATACAATCGGAAAATTGCAACAACTATGCACAGACATTTATGGGCACATGTACTTACTCGGATGTTGTCTGTATGTATATATAAGCGTATGGCTGTATGTATGTATATCCGTATAAGCGTGTATGATTTTAGCTTGCTCGAGTACAAAGTACGTCGCTTTTCTCACGTACGCCGGCGAAATGACCTCCAGTGAAGTTTTACACTTTAACTTTAATCACTTTGTACTTATTTACGCACACACATAAAAAATATAAGCAGACATATAAGAAAACATATGTATGTACATATAAGCGGGTGTCTACTCCTATCTTTATTTTAACACATTCAGGAAATTACATTGAATGTCTGTAATGTATGAATTATTATGGCTAATGACTTATGTCCGCTTTAGAATTTTAAAATTTCTAATTTACTGTTATATGGCTATCTGCAAACAACGCATACACATACACACATACTTATATGGCTTCATATGCCGTCATCTGCCCATATTTAAGTGGCGCGTCAATAAATCAATAATTTATTTGAAGTCGATAACTGAATTTTGATTTGAAAATGTTCTCATTGTACTTCAGTTTCTAAATAAAGAATATTATTTGTGTTTTAAGCGCAAACAATTCAATTGTTGAAAGCAACAATACTTTCGGCGGGTTTTGCACTTTTCTTTATAGCCTTTGCATTTTCGTTTTACGTCGGAACCGCTTTATCGACACCATTTTAAATACATTATCTATTCATAAGAATTTGGCATACTTTTAGGATGAAATTTGAAGTCAATACACAATTAATAATAAATATATAAAAATAACAAGAAAAAACGTTAACTGCGTTCGCACCGAAGCCATAATACCCTACACAGGTACAATTATATATTATAGCATAAAAGGGTAAAAAAAGATCTTAATTTTGACTTGAATCAGTCAGATTGTATGGTAGCTATATGCTATAGTGGGCCGATCTGGACAATTTATTCACAGATTATAGATTTGCCTTGCACAATGATGAAAATTTCGTGAAGATATCTCGTCAAATAAATAAAGTTTTCCATACAAGAGCTTGATTTGTATATGGCAGCTCAGACAAATTCTTAAAGAGAAAAAATGTGTGCAAAATTTGAAATCGATATCTCAAAAACTGATTGAATAGTTCACGTACATACAGACAGACGCCTAAATATACATGGCTAAATTGACTCAGCTCGTCACGCTGAAAATATCACGTGAAAAAAATTCAAATTGACATCCGGTCTTAAAATGTTTAAAAGTGGATTCGACTTTCAATTTTGAAAACGATATTATTGGATATGATTATGAATCATCACTGAAAGCTTATGAAGTAAGTGAAAGTGAAAAATTTGGTAGTCTATTTTAAAATGAAAATTGTTAGAATTTTGAACTTGTTTGGAAATAAAAACGCATTCTCAGAGTTTGCCAGATCAAGAAATCAGTATTGGACCTTCGGTCCATACCTTAAGACAATGCTCGCTAGAAAGAATCCTAGCCACAATGAATGATGTTGGCCGAGATAGAGACTTTTTGTTTAGCATAAGACAATACAAAATGGCAACCGACAAGTTGGGAAATTATTGTACATTACTACAGTTTGGGTAAAATTTGATCAGATGGTACACTACAGAGCTTAGCATTGGCAGAGCATTCTCCGGTAATGGAGGAAGTTGGCAAAGTTTGAAAACTCTTTGCTAAGGTTCTTTTGCAAGAAAATTTATAAGATAACGATTGCGGTCTACTTTCAAATTCAGTTCAATACTAGTAATATCAAAAACTAGCGCTAAAAGTTAATAAATGCAAAACTTTTAAAGCTGAAAAGCTTTGCCTCGATATTAAGTATAGGTTTAAATGTTTTTATTTTTTTTTTGTTAAATAAAAAGTATATTGTTTTTTTTGTTTGTATCTGTAAAAAAGATATTATTTATTTATTTATTTATTAGGCAAATTATTGTTGTTGCTTTGCAGCGGTAGCGGTTTTTTTCGTCTGCTCATTTTTTCTGTGTGGGAAAAACATTATAAAACTTATGGATGTGGAAACTTTAAAAATATAATAATAAAAAGTAATTAGCAAATATAATAAAATTATGTATAATAAAGTAAAAATAGCGTTTAATGGTAAAAATAAAGTAAAACTACTTTGTGAAGCGCATACGAATGCAGGTGTATGGGCCGTTCGACAGCCACACACACACAACCAAACGATTGCAAAATAAAAACTAATTTTAAGAAATATAGATGTAGTAATCTAGCGCTTAATATATGTAGATATGTATGCATAAGTATATTAAATAATTATATATATGTATATAAATACAAGTATATTTATATATGGATTTAATTTATGAGATTTTCATGAATTTTATTTTTAAATGTATGTATGTTTGTATATATATGAATAAAAATTATAAGCATAAATGTGTGTGTATGTAAAATACAAGCACTAACTAGTTTGTTAAACGAAGTGGAAGAGTTATTCATTTCTTTTGTGTAGTCAAGGACTAAAAGCTTTTCTAAAATGTGGAGTTCAAAACGAATTTTCGTTTTTTTTTTTTAATTTTCAGTTTCATATATGGTATTTATGTGCATGCCAATTCTTCTTTATGTACAACCATAAAGTAATTGCGTACAATTTTTTTTTTAATTTTTGTGGTTAGAAATTAGCAGCATATGCCAAAAGGAAGTGAAAAGGATACTTCAAGTGCCACAGTTCAAAGTATATTTATGTATATATGCAAGCATGTAGATGTGTTTGTAAGCTCTTGTAAGTATGAGTTAATACTTACCTGTATTACTGTCAGCAATAAGCTTCATCATTTATTTTCTAACAAATTGCACTTGAACTGCAATGTACGGCAGCTTTGCTTGAGATTTCATAATTCCATTTAAAGTCTAATTGTACAACTATTTTATGAATTATTTAAGCACTAAGTTCTATGTTTATAATTAATGCAATAAATGCTTAACGCTAGTGAAATGCAAAACAAAATTCGCCCGGCGATTATTGCTTATTAACAGCGCGGCGCTTCAAACCGCTCATAGCGCTGAGAGCGCGCTTGCCAACGCGGTAGTTCATGGCGGACGCGTCTCATCGACGACTGTTCAACATCTGTAGGTAGTATTCACAGTTGGTGCAGTAGACGGCGGGCGCGATCACGTGACGCTTTCGACACAGATTGCACTCCACCGCTTTGGCGGATGCCTTGACGATAGCGTTGTTGTAGACGCGTGTCGGTATGGCGGTCACATTGACGCTGCTGTCCAACATCACTGGCGGCAGACCGTTCTGTTGCGCTGCAGCGGCATTGCTGTTGGCTGTGGCGGCGCTGAGGCCCAACGGTTTCGGTGGTAACGCTGCTGTCATATTGCTGGCGCTGCTGCTGTGGTTGTTGCTGCCATTGCATAGTGAGTCCGTTTCGCCTTTGGTGCCGGGCTCGAAGCTGACCTTCTTCTGGTGCGACGCTTTGGTGTGCTGCGGTTGGGTGTTGGCTAGCGCGACAACGGCATTTTGCGGCACGGGGAAGTAGGGTGAGGGAGCGGCATTGGAATTGTGTATGGCTGTGGTGGGTGAGGGGTAGGGATGTTGCGGTTTTGGCATGTTATTGAGGGTAGGCGATGGGAATTGTTCGCTGGCATAGCCGTGTGGGAGCGGTACGCGCTGGTAGGGTGAGGGTAGTGGTGCAGTGTCCAAACCTGGCACGCCGGGATAGTAGCCATTAGTAGTTGGCAGTTGTTGATGTTGCTGTTGCTGCTGTTGTTGTTGCAAAAGCTGTTGGTGCTTTTGCAGTTGCACTGAGTAGCTCTGTTGCTGCTGGTTAACGTGCGAACGCGGTATGCTCACATAACTGGATTGTGCATCTAAATGTTGATGTTGTTGCTGCTGCTGTTGAGCTGCTAGCATCTGCATATGTTGCTGCGTGGCAACATTAGCGATGCCGCTCATGCTCGTGCGCGCGGCAAGCAATGCATGATTGTTGCTGCTGTTGTTGTTGGCATGCATGCGCTCATCGTACAGTGCGTGTTGCTGATGCGCTGACGTCAGCTGCGTAGCATACTGCGGCTGTTGCTGCTGTTGTTGTTGCTGGTGCTGCATGCGATAAATATCCTGCATGGGTGTGTACACCTGCCCCGCTTGCATATATGGTATGGCGGATTGTTGTTGTTGGCGCTGCTCTTGCTGCTGCTGCTGTTGCTGTTGAATTTGCTGCTGCTGCTGACGCAGCGCTTCGAGTTGTGGACGTTGCAGCTGTACATAGCGTTGCATATCTTGACCCTGTAGCGGCAAGGGGCGGCGATCGTTACTCAACATTGGCGACGGCTGCGCCAATGGTAACGATGCCGGCAATTGTGGTTGCGTATGATGTTGTAGTTGAAGATGCTGTTGTTGTTGTGGTTGTACTGGTGTTGGCAGCGGTTGCACTATGCGCGGTTGCGCCTCTGTCGGCAAACGTATCATATTCTGCTGTTGTTGTTGTATGAGCTGCGCGCTCACCTTTTCGTTGGGGTTTTGCGCTGTACGCAAGACGCGCTCCAAAATCGGATTCGGTATGAAGTCATCGTCCTCCTCATTGTCTGCCGTCGCCACAAGTATTACTTGATCGCAGAATGAAACGCTCTTCTTCTTGACGCGTTTGGGTAACGCGGTGGCTGCAGCCGCGGCGCCGTTCTGTTGCGCGCCTTGTTGTGGTTGTAGCATTTGTTGCTGTTGTTGCTGCTGTGCTACCTGCGTATTGTTCAGCGTTTGCTGAACCATTGTGTTGAGCATCTCAACTTCGCGCAGCTCTTCGGCGATCTGCGACTGTGGCACTTCGTATTTCGGCTTAGGCAGCACCTGATGTGCCGGTAGACGTTGCAGGCGCTGCGGCGCGCAGTCCACTTCATCCGATTCGCCCTTGAGTGACAACAGCGCTGGCGGCAGTCCATTCATTTGAGTGCGTATCGTGGTTTTGTTGGCGTTCAGTAGCTCCTGTGATGAGTAAGAACGTAGTGGTGGTTGTTCACCAGCCGCGTTTGCTTTCGATTGTTCGAAACGGTTCGCGAGTTCGCGTACGCCATTCGACGATTGTTGCGTCAGCTGTACGATTGGTGAGTCTGTGGTGGCACGCTGTTGGGCATTTCTGAGATCAGTTTGCTTGGCCTGCAACTCTTTCAGCCAATTTGTAGGTTCACAGGTGGGTGTGGCCTGCTCTTTTCGTAGTTTCATGAGTTGATGCCGTTGCTGCAGTTGTGCCAAAATGCTGGTGGTGCCCTCGAGCGTCTCCATGCTGCGCTGCTGCTTGTTTGCTTCGAGCACTTGCAGTTGGCTGATTTGGTGATTCAGCGGTTCAAGATCGATCTCCGGCGGTGGTGGTGGGAAATCTTCGCTGGCTTGACGCGAATGGCAAACCGATTGTGGTGGACTCGGGTATGGCGGTAGTTCGAGTGGTGCTTCGGCCGAATTACTGGCAGCGTTGCTATTAACGTTGCCATTGGTATTACCGTTACTGGCGCCAGCTGGTATATCGACTTCATCTCGACCCAAATCGACTGCGGTGGCAACAAAACCGTTATAGTGCTGATATTGTGCCACACCATTTGTTGTCTGATACAAGGTGTCCTTCGGCGGACTCTGTTCGTTGTGAACCTGCGCGCACGTTGTAATAATGGTCTGGCAGGAGTCCTCGCTGATTGAGGTGTTGGAACTCATAACCGAAACGTTGGAGAGATTCGCTTCGTGGTGGAAATGTTGCAACACCGCAGCGTCCTGCTGTTGCTGTAGTGCTAGCTGTTGCTGCAATTGCTGTGGTGTCAGCGCTGAACTTGTACGCATGGGTGGTGGTGGCGCCACCTTAGCGACCACAGTTAATTGTCGTCCGCTACCGTGAAAGCTCTTGCGCATCAATTTGCTGCGCTCTAAATTCGGATTTGCATTGTTCGAGTCACGGTAGTCGAAGTGTCCCTCGGAAATGTAGCCACTCATGCCATTCTTACCATTCAAACCGACTGAGCTGTCGTCCACTGAAGTGGCCAATGGTGCGGGCACCTCTTTCTGGTTGGCGGCGTCATCGCCGGCTTCGGTCAAATCAGGCATAGAGCGATTCTTTCGTCTTATAAGTCCACCCATTAAAAGCTTGCGTCGTATCTTGTGCTGCTTCTTGCCATTTTTATCCTTCTCCTTCTTCTCATCCTTGTCCTCTTTGTGTTTCTTCAGCGTATCCTTGGCGTTTACCAACAAAGTTTCCGTCAACGAAAACTCACGTGTCAGTTTATTGCGATCTTCACTGCGACTGCGTTTCTCTTTCTCCGATTTGCTGCTACTACGACCAAAGATTAAGCGACTCTCACGCTCCGGCTTCGTGACAACAGGTGCGGCTGGCTCGTACTCGATGGCGTTGTCGTCGTTGCCCACAGCGGCGGCTAGCGCCTTCAGCGGACTCTTCTTCTTCGGCAGCGTTGCATAGATCTCAATGCTTTTGTTGGCTGCTGAGGTCGCTGCAGCTGTTGCAGTTGTATTTGCCTGCATTGGCAACTTGTCCAATGTTTTATCCTTGCTATTTTGACGCACATGCTTCACACTGCTGTTGCTGCCCTCACGCATATGCTTCATCTCGGGCATGGCATCCATATCGGCGCCCTTCTCTACTAAGATGCGACGATGTAAGCTGCGCGCACGCATCACGCATGTGTTGTGTTTCATGCGTGCGAATGTCATGGTGTGCGGATTGCTATAGGGCGCATCCATTGCGGCGCGTGCGCGTCCAGCGGCGGCATTGCAGAGCACCAGCGCAGTCTCCAGATCATGTGATTCCTCGACGAGACGTGATTTCTCCAAAAGCTGATCGGCTTCGTGACACAGCTTTTCGCAATCGCCCGTAAGCATGGTTGAAGCAGCAGTCTCGGGTATCTTCGCGAGTTGTGGATTCAAATGATGCTTCGGTGGATATGAATCGGTTGAGCTCAACGAGAACGAATCATAACCAGGATCGTAAGGCAAACCATTGCGTGTGGGACTTTGTGGCACTGCGGGCGGATTACGTTTGCCCACCATGTAGAGATAGGGGTTATCCAGCGTCGTGGATGAGGCGGAGCTTGCGCTATTGCGATCACCCGACCAGTTGCCCGAGTCACGACGTCGCGGTTGATTCAAGTGATCTGGCATAGTCAGACCATCACTGGGCGGTGAAGAGCCATTCGAAGAGCCACCGCTGACATGTCCCGACTCAGCACTCTGACTACGTTGCAACTGTAGATGATATTTACGCACCATCTGCGCATTAAGTACTTTGCCGATCTTGTGCGCCAATGTATCGCCATCCTTCTCCTCGGGTGTTTGCGCGTTCGTGCCGTTACCGTTATTGTTGGCGAAGATCTTATCCTGCACAACGCTCAAATTCTGATATTGCTGTGCATTCAGCACGTGCTCCACCGTCTTGCGGCGTATGTAAGCATCGGTTTCATCATTGCTGTTGTTGGTATTGTTTGCATTGTTGTTGCTGGTTTTTGCAGGCACAGTAGCGCCAGCAAAGATATTCTTTTGTATAACGCTCAAATTCTGATAGTCGTTGGGCGAGCGCAACGGTGTTGGTGTGATGGCACGACGTGTATTGCCCAAGTTCGGTTTCTCCGGCGTCATGGGGCTCGGTGTTATGGCGCGTCGTATAAGCGTGGATTGTGTGATCTCCGGCGCGAATTGTGTGCCGCCTGAAGGTGGCTGTGGCACAGCGTAGAGTAGCAGCAGCGGCTGGTAGCGTCCACGACTGCATTTGTCGACAACACCTTCCCAATTGGGACCGACCTATGAAGCAGATAATATTTATGAAATACGATTCGTATTGGGCGAAATATGCATGACTTACCTCCTTCACATTTGCATCATCGAAGTACACCCAAACCTTGAGTTTGGTGTGAAAGAAGAATGTCGTATAGTGTTTACCATAATACGAGACAATGCCGACCAATTCATGTTGTGCATTTTGTGCCCATCGATGTTCGGCAACCTGATGGAAGACGTCCGATAGACGTAAGCTGGTGCCGATAGCCTTGAGTACAGCATGCACTTGATCGGCGGCAGGTCGTTCGGAGTCCCACACGATGCCAATCGAAACGACATCCGGACGATTGAGCAGCGCGCGACAGATGCCAATTTTAGCGCCACAAGAATTCTAGAAAATGACGAGAAACGAGTTTAGCAAACGAATGTTTGGTAATATTATGGGGGAGGAATTTAGTAAGCGCCACTTACCGGACAATCTCTGATGTCACCCATATTACCGGCGGCGCGTAACAGCTGACCAAATGTGAGTTGTTGATGATTTTGCAATGCCAAACTATTTTGTGAAGTCAACGCTGATGCCGAGACATAGTGTACCATCTGAAAAAGAGACAACAACAAGAGCAAAAATTATAAATCAAAAGTTGCAGCCAAATTTGTGCATGTTTGTTTTTGTTTTGGGTTTACTAGAATGGTGTATGATTGGAAAAGCTTTAGCATAAGCTATCGGTTTTTAATTAAAAAATTAGTCAACAATAATTTTTCATATCCGAACTGAAAATGGTGTGACCCACTTGCTGCGTGGGTTCATTCACGGCTTACGTTCAATCAAACTCGAGCTGTTGAACTGTGGAATGAACTTAAGCTGTACTTAAAGCGGTGATTGTTCGACAAATTCAAAACCAGACTCAACGCTGAACAAAAATGAACGTTGGACAACTTGACCGCTTGGGGTGAGTGTTGGGTAATTGTTGTTGTTATTTTATTTTTGCATAAATAATATTGTGTTGACACCGGAAAAAGACGCCCACTGCTTAAGCGCGCAACTAACCGTCCAAAGTCGGCAGTCAATGTGGAGACTGGGGGCGTAGTTGTGGTTGCTGTTGTTGTGGCAGCACGTGTTAGAGTGCTTTAATATGCTTTTAATGGACATTTAAGATAATCCACTTGACTAAGCATACACAGTTTCATCGACAACTAACTTGCAGATAAAAAAGAGAGCAGGTGTAGGCGGACCAGTTGTGGAGAGTGAGAACTGGAGCAGCATAAGACTAAATTATGTATTCCGATTGAACACGAGGCGAAAAAGCTGTCAATAAAAATTAAACAGTTTTCAAGTAACTTTCAGGCCCATGCGCTTTAGTCCAGTAAAAAGTTGCCTAATAGTTTTTTGAAAAACATCCATTTGGGAGTTCAGAGATTCTCAAGGTTTATGTATCGTTCTCTGCGTTTTCGTTGATATACTTGTAGTATAAATGGAATAAGATATCGAGTCATCCGATATTTTAAATATAATATTACTCTAAATCACTAGAGAGATACAAATATTCGTGTCTTACGACTCGAATTTATTTCCCTTTGTTCTTTGGGTGTAGACATTAGCTCTTCACCTTTTAAGCCGACTATAAATATCTGAAAATTTTGATTTGAATTTTAGATGAGAACGTTGACAGAATGCACTCGGAAATCTTTCATTACTCAGGAGCTCATAAATTTAAGGACCGGCGTTAAAAGTTTGTATGTTCTTAAGTACAACCTAACTGTTTAATATTTCATTCTCTTCAATGTTTCTCGACCAAAACTATGTAAGGAATATTTGAAAGAGACAAAGAAAGGATAGATAGATAGTTTACTGATCACTATTTCACCTCTTCGAATTATATTCATAGGAAGCTATTTTGCTGCCGATCGTATTCGTGTAAGGCCATATATCTTTTACTATCCATAAAGTTCAGAATAGTCAGAATAATAGCTACGTTTTAGGTACAGCTTAGTGCTGGTTTTTAAACTTTTTCAAGATGGCGACTTCCCTCTGTAATTTCTATAAAAATTAAACAAGTTCCTGAGTCTGTAAAGTTAAAATAAACCCTTTTCTATGTTTTTATGCAAAAGCCACTACAGATTTTGAACTATCAAAGCCTGACAGTTAAAATAGTTATTTTAGTTACTGCACCCATACTTTTTCGAAGCACTGTAAGAAAACAGTTGATAAATGGTAGCGGCAGTACTTTGTTACCACTTGAGTTAAGCTGTTTATTGTCTTTTCATAGCAATTATGGGGCGTGTGTATATTTTACTTATTATTTTTATTGTTATTTTTTGACATTTTTTCACTCCACTACTAATGAGTTCGAATGGGTGTGGGTCGCGCTGTCTTGTTGAAGTGGTAAAGTGTAATATAAATTATATCAAGACCAAAAAATAAAAATAAGAAATATGTATGTATGTAGTATGTTCCGTACCGATCACGATCAAATGGCAAGCTCATGGCCATTTCTTGCGATTTGCTTTCATTTTCACTTGGCATTTTGCTCTGGAAAGCACACAACGAGTTAAATCTATTTTGTCATGCTTCCTGATTGGGCAGTGAGTGGAACTAATACTGTTGGCACAATCAGATCAAGAACAGCTAAGACAGCGATTGCCAGCGTGGGCGAATGAATAAACTATGGTAAACGTTAAAGCGATTATGAATGCTTACATGAGATCATTTTATAATATCTACTAATGCTGGGTTATGTACATATAAGTATATTTGTTAGTATGTGGGCACATACATATATTCGCGAATGTATGTAATAAGTACTTCAAGACAGTTTTGAGCAATGTAGATCGTTTGAAATTATGCTTTTTAGAGAAATCTTATATCAACATTGATCTATATAAGGAGTTTCCTAAGCCTAGCTCAAAATTAGCTAATCTAATTGGTTACAGTTGGTGGTTTTTGGTTTGCAAACAATTTGGTACCGAAATTTTAGAAAATATTGGAAAAAAAATGTCATAATATTTATGTCATGACATTTATGTCTTACTAATTATTGTAAAAAGAAAAATATTATCTCATGATGTTTATGTCATAATTATATATATTGCATAACATTTATGGCATGACATACAAAAAATTTTATTAATAAAAAAATGTCTCTAAATATATATACATACAATACTTGCCATATTTCTAAAAGCTAACAGCTACTAGCTATATTACAAAGCTAAGTACCATATATAAAACAATAAAAATGTTGAAAAATATCTTTGTTTACATTTGCTATTGCACTCAAATATTTTTGAATTGAATTGAAATTGATCAGCACATATTTTTTCAACACTGATTTAGATAAACCATTAATATGGTATTCTCCTCTTATAAAGATGTTAGCAAAAAATTAATTAAAAATCGAATAAAAGTCTGCGCACAGCACTGGAGTACTGCTACTTATAACACTACTTCAAATATTCAAACATAGGCAGCAACCACCCGGTAGGAAAAATTTGATACTTTCTAAATTGGTCAAAATCGTTACATATTTACTAGTTGCCTTGTCTCAATTGGTAATTTTTTCAACAGTTCAAAATTTAATTAGGTTTTTATTTGTGTCTAATTTGCATGATATTTCGGTAATTTATGTCATGACATTTTTAAAAAGTAAATATTTTTCGGTTATGTTTTTACAAAACTAAAGTCATACCGAAATAAAAAATCCATTATTTTCCTACTGGGTCCGTATGGGATTTTCTCAAACATTTGACAATAGAAAACCATTCGCTCACTCGTCTAATGAGTCTACCAACGACTACACATAAGTCATTTATCTTGTTTGCTTCGTTTTTGCTTTTGTAAATTGTCCTTCAACACAAGATTAATGCACGCTTAGCCACATATAAGTAAATATATATGCGTCCAGCTGCTTAAAATACGTAAAAGTGGCGGATAAATATCAATGATTTGCACAAAGTCTGTTTTGACCGTCAAGTAGACGATTTTCACATGCCCGAACGCAATTCTCAGGCAACTTCATTTAGCACTCATGCATATTTATGTATCCATTCAAAATTCAATGGAGTGGTTAATTGTGGCAATTGTTAAAAAAATTAAATATATATATAAAAAATAATATTTAGAACAAACGCGCAGGTGCTTGGCAGCTGGTTGACAGTAATGCGAACTGAACTGGTTCTCAAAGACTGCAGTGTGTTTGACAACTTCAACTTTTAGCGCATTTTGCATTAGTTGAAAGCGTTCGTAAATTATTTGTTGCTACTGTTTTTTCCTAATATTATATTATATTAAAAAAAATATATTTTTTTGAATTTTCAATTATTTTTAATTGCATTTTTTTTTTAATTTCTTTGCTTTTAATTTTTTTTAAACCATTTATTTTAAGATACAAAATTCAACCGAATTTTTTTTATAAAATTTTTGTTATAGTAAAATTTTTTTTGCTAAATAATTTTTTTAAATTTTGTTTTTAACCATTCATTTTAAATTACAAGCATTTATAACTTTTTTAACAAACTAATATTTTTTACTTAATTAATTTTTAAAAGACCCACTTTTTAGTATTCTATTAACTCACTTCAACTTAGTGAGAAATATGTGAAACTCGTTTAATTCGCGCTATGCAACCAGTTTCGCGTGTAAATGTATACTTCTAACGTTTCTTATTTACATGCACATGGGTGTATCTAAGACTGGTCTGTGCAATTTATGCTGTTGTACTTGAAAGCCGCGTGTGCTCATGCTTTGCATGATTTGTAACGAAAGACAAGCGTTGCGGAAATTTGCATACTTGAACTTAACACCAAATTGCCAGGTGGAGTATACATACACACACACAACTACATAAACATGTTGTTGACACTGCAGTGTGACGGACGAAAAGTGGCGAAGGTGTCGCAGCAATCAAATGTAACAAGCTGATATTTCCTTCGCGGAGCTAGTTATAGGGTAAGGGGTGGCGATGGCTTTCGTTTTGGTTGGATTGTGGGCGTTGATATTTGTTTATGTATATTTTTTAGTGCTACTACAGATTTACGCTTTAATGCTTTATATATAACCGTGCATAAATGAATGAATGAATTAGTTTTACTGAAAGAAAAACGCCTTCGAGGTTTAGGCTCAAGTTTAGTTCGACACATTTAACCATATATGTACAAGTATGTATGTAGATTCATGACTTGTGAAATACTACCAAAAGAGAGACAGAGGGTGATGGAAGAGAAAATGAATGAACTAATGCTGGGTTATGTACATATATGAACTATATATGAAATTAACTTTAGCTGAGCAAAGAAAAAAGTTACAGCTTGATGAACTCAACAACGACTTTTACAAATTTTTGGTTTTACTAAGGTTTCTAAGTACTTGAATGCAATATTGCAACAACCTAATTAGTAATTATTGGAGAGGGCCTGACCTCTTAACTCTATGTAACCTAAAGGACTGTAATCGATCGACTCTATGTAACCTAAAAAACTGTATTCGGCTAAAAATCATATCACAGAGGACAGATGAGCTGCCGTGACATCATGGTATCTACGTAAGATCGAGGTGATCTAGTGTGGAAGCAAGATTTCGGATTTATAGGTTTAACGAGGTTCTTCATTTATTAATTGGAAATAATTTGATTAGTGACGATTAGAGAGGACTGAATCAACTCTATATAACCTAAAGAGCTAAGATAAGTCGAAAATGGTATCAGAGATCACCGGTGAGCTCGTCAACTTCGGTTTGGAGCACAGGTAACAAGTTCTATTATCAATACTAATATAATTTATAGGACAGGATATCTAACTAAGACTGCTCCCAATAACTTCAATAAAAATAAAAGTTTCCTTATTTTCCCCGGATTTTCTTTGCACTCGACTTTTGAAATCCAATACTAAACTTCAACCAACAAGGCTCAGTGCTGAGGATTTCTTTAAAATATTGTTTTTTTTACGCTTTAAGCTCATTATCACAGTAGCATAAAGTTCTTGATTGATGGCGTCATTATCTATGGAAAGGAATTGTTTGAAAAAAATAGTTCCATGTTGTAAAAATTTCAACAGTTTTTGGTAGGAATATATATTTATAAATTTTCTAATTTTTGATTTTCTGCTATACCGCTTTCTAGGCGGATTAAGTTAGACGTTTAAAACAATCATTAGCTGATATTAAAATATACACTTTCTGTTAGGAAGTTTTCCAAATTATAAAGCTTTCTCTGCCGAGGAAGTCTATAACCACAGCACTACTTCCCATTAAAAAAAAATTAACTGCGCTTTTCTAATTATAAAACTTAATTCCCAACAAATTAAGTAAAATGCATGCTATGCCTAATTTGACGTCGTCACTCACCTGTGTGAATGGCAATTGCTCCGAATTGGCGCCACACTTGCACACGCTCTGCTCGATGACGCGCATTGCGAAGCGACGATGTGCCACACACGCCTGCGACTCGCAAGCGTCGCCATCATCCGGTGAAATGTGCGAATGCACACGATGCAAAAGCAATTCAAAGCACTCGGCCGCATCGCCGAGGCAGCCGAGCGGAAAGCGGCGACCAGCTAGCGGACCACTAGCCAAGGCGCGACGCAAAGGCTCCGGACATAGAGCCGGTTCGGAGCTGGTCTGTAGTTGTTGGAAAAGTTCCTGTGGAAAAAGAAAAGAAGAAACCAAAATTAATAAATAAATGAATTGGTAAGGTTGCAAATTAGCAGTGGATAAGAGTGGGTTAGGTAATAATAATTAAATGCTAGAATGCACACATAGTCACACACACACACAGACACATAGAATATGGTAGTAAAATGTAAAATCAAATTAAATTAAATTGCACATAGTTTAACAGTTTACGCTTCAACACTCACAATCACAGCGGTTATGCAACGATCGCGCTCACCGCCACCCGCTTCCTTTGCTGCCAGCGCGAGCAGTGTGTCGTTGCTGCCGAAGATGTGCTCATTGCTGCTGCTCTTTCGATAGTAATAGCTATTGTTTGTATTGCTACTATTATTGTTGTTGTTGTTGTTGCCGTTAATTATATTGCTCATGCTGCCACCGAACGCGTAGCCCCAACCAGCCAACTCGGCGGTCGATGCCACCTTCGCTAGCGCGGACACTTTCCGGCTACTGGCGGTTTGGCGCGTCAGCGTCGCCGATTTGTAGCCGTCCAGCAGGGGATCGTACATTTTACGCGGGCTGCTGCGTGGCAAGGTGCCATTATTGCTGATCAGTTGAGCGTGCTGCGGATGCTGCGGCTTGAGTGGCGAGTTGATACTGCTACAGTTGGCAGGTGTTTGTGCGTAGTGTTGTTGTTGTTGCTGATGCTGTAGTTTTTGTTGTTGTTGCTGTTGCTGCTGCAACTGTTGTTGTTGCTGATGCTGTAGTTGTTGGAACTGTTGCATTTGCTGTTTCTGTAGTTGTTGCTGCAGCTGCTGTTGCAATTGCTGTTGGCTCAGCGCGTTTTGATTTGGTCGACAATTCTCTTTCGCCGCAGACGCTACTGCTGCTGCTGATTTGGCATCCTTTGGACTTTCCACATTGCTATTTTTAACATTATTGCTGTTATTGTTATTTTTGTTTTTATTCGCGTTCTTCGTTTCCTCCAACGTTGTCGTCGTCATATTGGCCGCTGTGTTAGCCGGTTCTTTGCGTTTATAGCGAAACTTAATCATAGTGATAGTGTTTTCTTCGTTACTGTTGTTGTTGTTGATTTTGTTATTTGCTGGTTATTAGTGTTGTTGTTGCCGTAAGTAGTGGCGTTTCCGTTTCTGATTAGTTACATTAAATTCCCAATGTGAACATCGTTGACTTCCGTTCGCGTTAGCGCCTTCTCGTTGTTGTTGTGATATTTTCTGTTTTTATTGTAGTGACTGTAAAATGTTGTAAATAAGTTTCGTTGACGACAGAAAAGTCAATGAATGCATGATTGGTTTGGCTAAACGCAGGAAAGTGTTGAGAGCTGACGGCGATTTAGAGAGCTTTACTTTTACTATTGTTTGAGATTTTTTATCCGTAAGGAAGTTTCTATGCTTAAAATTGCTTCGAAATAATAAAATTTTTTTTTTTGTAAAAATAATACCCGTAACCTAAAAAAAAATTTCAATAAAAACTCATATATGAATCATATCGAGAGTGGTATTTAACTAACAGTTGGAATTTTTTTGAATTATCCCTTCGTGACATCATCTTAGCGTTGTCTTGGAAATAACTTTGAATGAAAAATTAATCGAAGGTATTTGTTTTATAGTCTTTTAGCGAATTTTCAGGCACTGTATTGTCACAATGGTGAAGCATTTATATTCATCTCTCTTTCATTTACGACTCTCTTAACTCGGTTCTTAAAAATTAAATAAAATACAAACATGTAGAAAAATTTACTGAATTAATTAAACAGTAGAGAGCATGTACAAGCCATATTCAATTGCTATAACTCCTTTCGATTCTTTTTCCCCAGAAATATCTCAGTCTATCTGATATATGGCAGCTCTTTGTTCGATTCGCCACTCTCTAAATTTCAACTATTTGAAAGCAATTTGAAAATAATGGTAATAAATGAGAGCAACAAAGGGAGAGATAGTGAAATGAAGAGCAAGAAATAATTCGTTTTGAATCTTATAAAATTAATATTTAAGTTTTCCGTTTTATTTAGTTTATTTTTTGGTAATGGTTGCGTATGAAAAATCTGCTCTAAAAATGAATTCACTCAATCTACCTTCGCGTGATTATATAATTTGTGTTTTTGGTTTCTGCTCTATTTCTGCTATTGCTTCAAGTAACTCATTGTGAGTCATATCATGGCTTAAATTTCGTAATGCCTTATTTCCGTTAGCACATTGCACCACAATTTCAACTTGACCCCATTTAACCCGCAAGAATATCCCACAACACAGCAAATAAATCAAAGCAAATTTTATATAAAAAAAAACCACACATCTGAATCAAAGCGGAAAATGTATAATAACAATAGCGAACTGGTTAAATGAGACTAAAAAAAGAAAATCGTTAAAAAAAGCAGTGTACTACGCATACAACGGAACTTTTTGTAGGGTAATGCGAAGCTTGCTGCTGATTTACCTACAAGATAACGAGCAATGACTTAACTAGCGAACCAAGATACGGGAACGGACAGATGGCAAGTGTTGGTAGCAAAAGAATAAGATATGTACTTTTGCTTATATAATACATTATGTGCAACTAATATACATATATATATATATATTGTATTGCTAGACACGCTCAGCTTGACATGCTTTTATGTATGTAAATTGCTGAAAAGAAATATAGGAGCTGCCAGCTGTCTTGAATGGCAATGACTCACGGTGCGAACCGTTGCGAATTCGCACAAAAAGTTTGCAAAAAAATTGTACAATTAAAAAATGTGTTAAAGTAAAGATAATTAGTCTAACACAAAGTAAAGAAATGGTAAAAAAAAAACAAATAAAATAATTAAAGAAAGAAAATAAAAAATTTTAATGATATGAAATAAAAATATGATAAAATAAAATAACTTTTATTTAATTAAATTAAATTAAATAAAATAAAATAAAATAAATTAAATTGAATTAAATTAAGTTAAATAAAATAAAATGAAATAAATTAAAGTAATAAAGTAAAATAAAATAAAATAAAAAAAATCTATAATGAAATAAAATAAACTAAAAAAAATAAGAAGATAATAAAAAATAATATATAACCGAGTAAATTGAAATAAAATTATAAATTGAAAAAATAAAATAAAATAAACTAAAATAATAAAGTAAAATAAAACAAAATAAAATAAAATATAATAAAATAAAATGAATTTAAAAAATTAAATAAAATGAATTTAAAAAATTAAATTAAATAAATTTAAAAAATAAAGTAAAATAAAATCAAATGAAATAAAATTAAATAATGTAAAAAAAATAAGAAAATATAAAATAAAATAATTTAAATTTAATAATAAATTTAGAAAATAAATTGAAAAAATAGACGAAATTTTATTAAAATAAATAAATAAAACGAATAAATGAAATAAAAAATTATTTTATTAATAAATTAAGAAAATCAAATATAATAAAAGAATGATATATAAATTAAATAAAATAATAAATTTAGGAAATCGATTTACAAAATAAAACTAATAAAATTTTATTAAAATAAATAAATAAAATGCAATAAATTATTGAAATAAAAAATATATTAAAATAAAATAATGCATTTTGGAAATACATTGGAATACAAATTTTTGAAAATATATTAAATTAAAATAAAACAAAATAAAATAAAGCAGAGTTAGGACTACAAATTTGTATAGTTAAAGAGATTATCTGAAAGTGAATACAACATACAGAGTTTATTCTAAGATATATATATCTACGTACATAACTGCGCCAGAAGTACAAATTTACATAATGATTACAAGAACCAACAATAATAAAGCAGTCAAATGTGCGACATCACAACCAGCTTTTAATAAAATCCCACCACAAATCAGCTTAGCCGGGCAACGGAAGTACGACGTACTTAGTAAGAACGTCTCAAACTCTCCATACCCAAAGGAAGTAAGTAAGTGAATAAATGCTAAGTTATCGCTTCGCGGCAATTGTGAATTTAAGCGCTCCGGAAGCCTCTAAGGCGTATACGAATTTAACTCTTTGACTTTTCGACGTACTGCCCTTGCGCTGCGCAGTGTGGTTGTCTACCCAAATGGGGCGCTATAACCTATTTGAACTTTTGCTTCCAAACGGAGGTATAAAATACAAGCTTGAAATGAGAGTAGAAGCCAAGAAGGGGAAGACCGACTAAAGGGAAGAACTGAAAGACAGTCATTAGTAAAGTGATGCGGGTAAATGTTATAAATGCTATCATTTAGAACGTGAATAAATATGCGTACGTTTGTGTATGTGTGTTTGTAGACACATGCAAATTCAAGACTTGTGCGTTTTTGGCGCACGTGGCGTCGCTCAAGTTGGTAAGCAAATGACGTTAATGACATGCCACGAGGAGGAAACATGAAAGCAATACAAGTCAGTAAGGAAAAAAAAAACAGAAACAAAGGAGTAAAATACAACAACAAAGCATTAACAACAGTTGTAGCTACAAGGCAAGCCGACTAATTTCGTTGTTAATATACAACAGCTGGATTGCAAAAACATCACACACAAACTCACATGTATGTGTGTTAGTGCGCCCGGGGCTTAAGTGTGACATTAGGATACTGTTTACTGCAGTTGCTAGCAGCTTTTCTGTTCGTAGGAGCAACAGCAGCCGCCAATTTGTCTTTCTTTTTTGCGGTATAGCGCGCATGTAGCACGTCATACAGCGTGTGGCATGTAGCAAAGTTTAGTTATTGCAATAACTCTTTATGTTTGACACTTGCTGTTGTCTCTCTGTGAGTGACGTCAAGTATTTCGGTTGGGGTTCAGTGTAAATTTTGTAGCATATTAACATGCAGGTTGTTGTTAAGTGCGCAGATGTTGGTTGAATGCGAGTATATCATTAGTCGTATTATGTCAAATATAATTCTAAAGTATTATGAATACACTTTTTTTTTAATATCAAAGCACTTGCTTCTTGACTCATTTGGTCATATGGTGCTACTTTCAACGTTATCGAAAACAATCGAATTAGTAGCTTAATAATAGGTTTAAGACAGACGATCTAAT